CAAAACGATTGGTAAGTGTTTTCTAACTGATTTTCTTTACTCCTTAACATCCTTAAACATAATTTCAACTTCAAAACAAAGATTTTAATGGGGAACTTGGGAATTTAGGGTAGAACCTAGGTTTTCTAAAATTGGGGGTTTTGGACCTCAATTCGGGGTCCGATTCCAAAATAACTTACATATTTGAGTTCATGGGGGAATGGGTAAACAGGTTTTGGTTCGAACCTCGGGTTTTGACCATGTGGGCCCGGGGGCATTTTTGGCCTTTCGGGGTAAATTGATGAAAAAGCTAGAATTAGTCATTGGGTTTGATTTGTTTAGCTCACATTGATATCGTGGAGTCCTTATTGCATAGATTTGGTCGAGTTGGAGCCGAATTCGAGAGGAAAAGCGGTCGTGGAAGATTGTATTGGCCGTGGAAGTTGAGATAAGTGTTTGGTTTAACCCTAGCTTGAGGGAATAGGAATCGAGTCTTGTTTGCTAATTGTTAAATGATCGAGTACGATGTATAGGCATGGTGACGAGTTCCTATACATTGGGGTCTAGCATGACCGTGAGTCCTTATATGTGAGTTGTTTGGATATTGTTATGCCTTCCATGTTATTAATGGCTTCTATACGTGGTAAACACCTTGTGAAAGATATTGTGATTGTAGAACTTCGTGGAGCGTTGACTCGGTCTGAAATGCAAATGGTGAGGGTATGTGAAATAAGAAATGCCTTAGAGCTTGACACGGGTGCTAATGAGAGTTAGGATATGGAAATGAAATAAAAAGAGAAATAACGATTTACTCTTGCATGGTTGTTATTGGTTGTTGTGTACCCTTGTTGGGATTTCTTTCCAAATACTTATTTACTCCCTTGCCCTTTATTTGCGACTGTTGTTTGGGCAAGGTTGAGAGGTATACATTACGGATCGGGTTGCACGCCGCAACAGTGATAATTGTGGATCGGGTTGCACGCCGCAACAATATTATATGTGGATCGGGTTGCACGCGCAACAGTGATAATTGTGGATCGGGTTGCACGCCGCAACAATGTTATATGTGGATCGGGTTGCACGCCGCAACAGTGATAATTGTGGATCGGGTTGCACGCCGCAACAGTGTTGAAATGTATTAGGGTCTGGTTGCGCGCCGCAACAGTTATTGATGCAAAAATGTGTTTAGTGTTGGTATTAGTTTCTTGTTCGCCTTAAATTTTAAATTGCACCTAGATTGATTACTCTGGATTTACTGTTAATGTTGTTATCTCCCCACAGCATGTTTCCCCTCCCATACTGTTAATTGCTTTGTACTTCGATTTCTGCTGTATGTTTATAATTGCACAGGTTATGTGAGGTCCAGTCTAGCCTCGTCATTACTTCGCCGGGGTTAGGCTAGGCACTTACCAGCACATGGGGTCGGTTGTGCTGATGCTACACTCTGTGCATTTTTGCACAGGTCCAGGTATTGAGCAGCAGCAGCAGCATTAGCTCGGGGGCGAACCTTCAGTCCAGAGAGACCCGAGGTAGCTTGCAGGCGTCCGCAGGCCCGGCGTCTCCCTTCTATCTTTACATTTGGCTGTCATCTCATTGTACCCGAGATAAACAGATTGTGTTTTCTTTCAGACTTTGTATGTAGTACTCCTTAGATGTTCGTGAGTATGTGACTCCAGTCCCGGGGTGGAAATATATGTGATGGAACTTCTGTATTATTGATCATCTACCTACATTTAAGTCTTCCGCTTATGCTTTTAATTTCTGTCGCCTTTATTTAGTGCCGTTAACTGTTAAAAAGGAACATGTGTTTAAGGAATTTGTTAATTAAGTTGGCTTGCCTAGCTCCGTTAGTAGGCGCCATCACGACTCCCGATGGTGGGAAATCCGGGTCGTGACACTTTAATAGTTGGGTATATTTTTCTATATTACACGAAAATTAATAAAATAAATATTATTTTAGCTAGTAGGAAAGTAATTCAAATATAATATAATAAATTATTATCGTGGTAATGTTTTCTCAATTTCAACACTTTATGCAGTATGTTTAGCATTAATTTATTTTTTGGTATTGAATATTATAGAGTGGTAATGTATTACCAATATGGAGGATTCTTATGAAATTGATTTTATTAAACCTTCCTACATNTAATCCCGCTATACCAAAGTCGATTTTTTATAATATAGTCTTGAAAGCTTATTCTTGTTCAGGATTTAGCTTTGATTGTGCTTTCTCAAACACTTGTATGGCATTCTTAACATTACTAATCTTTTTTACTTTGTGATCTATTTTTTTAAATCTGTAACACTCTTTTTATGGAATAAATTTATGTATCTTAAGAATTTTTTTTTAATTGAAAAATAATTTTACTCATATGATGAATTTAAAAAATAATTTAATTGGATTCTCTTGCTGAATAATTAATGGAAAGATTTGATTATTTGGTTTTAACATAAAATATAATTTATTTTCAATTGATTTAGATTCTTACTATTAGTTCATCTTATTTTTTAAATATTTAACCGTGATTATAATTTTATCCACCATAAATTTATTTTTAAAGAGTAAAAAGATCGATAACATTCCGCTTTTAGATATTTATGTTTGCAAAATTATTAATGGTATTGGCTTTTACCAACCTTTGTCTTTCTTTTCTCACACATTTATATTCTTAAAAAATTTCTTAGTTGTTCTATAATAATTGGGTATATTTTTCTATATTACACGAAAAATTATTAATAAAATAAATATTATTTGAGTAGGAAAGCAGTTCAAATATAATATAATAATATATTATCCTGGGAATGTTTTCTCAATTTCAACACTTTATGCAGTCCGTTTAGCATTTATTTTTTGGTATTGAATATTATAGAGTGGTAATGTATTACCAATATGGAGGATTCTTATGAAATTGATTTTATTAAACCTTCCTACATATTTTTAATAAGAGTTCAATAGACAAGATTGTATTAATTTTAAAATCTTATATATTAAAAAAATTAACAGAGAAGTTATTTTAGTCCAAAAAATAAGTTATTACAGCTATGTCATTTTCTTATGAGTTCTTCTATTTAATATTTTAGAGCTATTTTGATTTATCAATATTATATTCGTGCTTTTATCATCATATATGGGCTCTCCTATTTTTAAATAGATTTGGACAATATAATACGTTTTTTTTTAAAATTAAATTAGTAATAGGAATTTTCTAAGAAGTATATCCTAAATGTAATAGGATTACAATGCTAATATCAAGAATTTCGATTATGTCCTTTTATTATGAGTTATTGTGCTTAATATTAAAAGGTTATTTTTGTAATCCAACATTTTATTCATGCTTTTATAATAATATAGATAGATATAGATATAGATAGATTATCATTCTCATATTATCTTATTCTTCGATTTATATTACTACATGTTATTTCTCTTGCTTAGGTTTTCTTATTGCTTTATTATTTTGTTGTTACTACTGTCTTGTCTTTATTATTTTTAATATGACTTTTTCACTAATGTTTTTTTTGTTCAAACCTGCTGAAAAATATTTTTCTTGAGCCGAGAGTCTAGTAGAAACAGTTTCTTTACCTCCACAAGGTAGGGGTAAGATTTGCATATACACTACCCCTCAGACCCCACACTATGGGAAAATACACTGGATATATTATTATTGTTATTGTATGATATCTTATATACCTTTGATTTATTCATAGTTATGTTAAAATGTTTGCAACTGTGGTAAAATTTTCAACGCATTATGTTATGATTAAGTCATTTGTTTAACCATATTCAAGTTTGGAGGCTGAAGAACACCGAGCAGACTTGTCTTTCTCTTTGAAAAGAAAAAAGGCAAAACCTTAGTCCAATATTTGGGGTCCACTAGAGGAATTCCTTTCTTTCTTCTAACAAAGATTTTTCCCTAACTTTCTGACGACATAGAAAGTGACAAATGAGACTGGAGCAAAAGGGAGATCAAACTGATCAATATTTTTGAAGTCTCATAGCCCCATTTTAACTAACCACGCCTAGTTCTCTTGTTGTTTCATTTGGTTGTGGCAAGTTTAGCCATAACTCACACCAACATTACCACTGATCAATTAGCTCTTCTTTCCTTAAAATCCCAAATCATTTCAGACCCTTTTCACTTGTTGGATGAAAGTTGGTCTTCAACTATTCCTGTCTGTCATTGCTTGTGGTTCTCGCCACCATAGAGTGAAGTCATTGAATATTTCCAACGTGGAATTCCCCCTGATTTCGGAAATCTCACATTTCTTGTTTCACTTGACTTGAGTAGCAACAATTTCTATGGAAATTTACCTCAAGAAATTACAGATTCTTGATCTTAGTCAAAATATGCTAACAGGTATGTATATAGTCAAAAGGAGTAGGGAAATTAAGATACAGCAGCTAGCTTGCTATGGCTGAACTAAAAGGGCAGCCAGGTGCACTAAGCTCCCGCTATGCGCGGGTTCGGGGAAGGGCCGGGACTACAAGGGTCTATTGTACGCAGCCTTAGAGGATGCTTCCACGGCTCGAACCTGTGACCTGCTGGTCAGTGGTCACATGGCAATAACTTTACAAATTGCTATGGCTGAACTAACAAAGTAAAATCATTACTAGCAGTGACGGAAGCAGGATTTTCACCAAGGGGATTTAAAATAAGAAAAATAAACACGCGAAAAAAGTTAAGGGAATTCAAAAAAATTATCTTATATACACAATATAATTTTTAGCGAAGATTGAACCCCCTTCGGCCCACATAGCTCCCCCCCCCCCCCCCCCATTGATCTGGGTTTGAACAAGTTTACTGGTTCACTTCCAACAGAGATCTTCAACATACCAGGGATAACAGTGATTGACCTAACATTGAAGGTCTTTATCTAGGTGGCTTAAATCTTTTTGGGACGATACCACATTCTATCTCCAATTGTTCCAAGCTCAACACTCTAGATGTTGCTGGAAATAGACTCACCGGTTTGATTCCAACCTCTCTTGGATATTCAAGAACCTCTCCAGTCAGTCTTTCATGTCCAACGAAGCATTATGTGGTTCTCCAAGATTCCGTGTTCCGCCATGCCGTACTAGTACTTCAAAGCATAGATCCAAGAAGAAAAAAGTACTTGTCCTACTTCTATTGGCCGGAATTGCAATAGTTATATTAGTTCCTACCATCTTTGTGATGGTATGGATAAGGTATATAAGAGGTAAAAGAACTGATCCTCAACAAACAGCTGGTTCATCCTATGACGTCTCAACAAGAGGACGAATTTCATACTACGAATTGCTCCAAGCAACTGATTCGCTCAACGAGAGCAATTTGATTGGTTCTGGGAGTTTCGGCTCTGTTTACAAAGGCATCCTCAGATATGGGACTCCTATTGCAGCTAAAGTGTTCAATCTGCAATTGCAAGCAGCATTTAGGAGTTTTGATACAGAATGCCAAGTTTTGCGCAACATTCTCCATAGGAATCTCACCAAAGTCATGTTCCAACCATGAATTCAAGGCTTTGGTACTTGAGTACATGCCTAACGGGAGCCTCGATAAGTGGTTGTATTCCACAACTACTTCTTAGACATCAACAATAGACTAAGTGATCACGCCCAACTATGCCTTATAAAAAGGACAATGCGGTCGTTGCAAATATAATCCGGTTTACCAGTCCGGAGTCGAATCCCACAGAGAGTTAACCTATCAATTACCTTTGTTGGAATCACTAAATTCTTTATAATCAACTTCCTCAAACGTTGTAAACAATAGTTGATGGTATTTCTACTAACTAAGAATGCAAGTAGATAAATAAACAACTGTAAACTAAATATGTTGGGTTGTAAATAAGAATGAGAAGGTTCTAAGGTAGTGATTTCCCCTATTGATGGAATCCCTTCCGGTTATGTTTCATATAGATTCACCAAAATATCTCTATCAATCATGAGCACTCTTTTTACCGTAAATCTCTCCCGAGTAATCGCGATAATTTACTAGACGCACTCTCCCGAGTTACGCTAGCTGACTTTGTTTATTACAGCTCACTTTAGATCATACCCAAGGCTTCGTTATCCCTAATCCCGCCTTTAAACCCGTAGTTATAAATCCCTCTTATACTTTGGGAGTGGTGTTGTTCAACAGTTACCTAAATATGCACTCTCTCCCGAGTTATGCACACTAAATAGGCACAGCTAAGTGAGGATCCTGTCAATTAACTACAATAAACACGTAATTGAACAAATAGAGATTAACTGGCAAACTATACGAACATAATCAAGAAGTTCANGCTCTCAAATGCGACCCTGCAATCATCAGAAAAACAGAAGGGGTGAGACTTTTTTTCTAACAACTTACGAGAGAGGGTTGGCGATCTTTGAAAAATCCTTATGAATCGCCGATGAAACCGGCATGCCCGAGGAAGCTTCTGATTGTTTTGACCGAAGTTGGAGGGGGTAGCTTTGCTATCACATCTACCTTGGCACGATCCACCTCAATTCCTTTGCTTGACACCCGGTGTCCCAAGACTATGCCCTCTTGTACCATAAAATGGCACTTTTCCCAATTCAGAACCAGATTAGTCTCTATACACCGCTTCAGCACACGAGTCAGATTTATCAGGCACTCATCAAATGAGTTTCCCACCACTGAGAAGTCATCCATGAACACCTCCATTATATCCTCTACCATGTCAGTGAATATGGCCATCATGCACCGTTGGAATGTGGCGGGTGCGTTGCATAGGCCAAAGGGCATCCTCCGGAAGGCATAAATGCCATACGGGCAAGTAAAAGAGGTCTTCTCTCCGTCCTCCGGTGCAATGGAGATCTGATTGTACCCGGAGTACCCATCCAGAAAACAGAAATGTGACCTCCCTGCCAATCTGTCTAACATCTGATCAATGAAAGGAAGTGGGAAGTGATCTTTCCAGGTGGCTAGATTTAACTTTCGATAGTCCATGCAAATTCTCCAGCCCGTGACGATTCTTGTAGAGATCAATTCATTCTTATCATTCTTGACTACCGTCATGCCACCCTTTTTAGGAACACATTGAACTGGGCTAACCCAGCTGCTGTCAGAGATTGGGAAAATGATTCCCGCATCTAACCACTTGATTACTTCTTTCTTCACGACCTCCTTCATATTGGGGTTTAGCCTTCTTTGGTGTTTCCTGGAAGGTTTGTGTCCTTCTTCCAGTAGAATTTTGTGCATACAGTAGGCGGGGCTGATCCCCTTTATGTCTGCCATGGTCCACCCAATGGCAGTCTTGCACTCCTTCAGTACCTGCAATAGTTGTTGAGCCTGCACATCTAACAAACTAGATGAGATAATAACAGGTAATGTGGAGTTAGGTCCCAGAAATTCATACCTGAGATGGGTGGGCAATGGCTTTAATTCCAGCTTTGGTGGTTCTTCGATGGATGGCTTGGCTGGAGGGGTTTCTCGATTTTCCAAGTGCAAGGGCTCAAACTCTAGGTGTCTATCCCAGAACTCTCTACCCTCTAACGCCAACACCCATTCCGCCAAAACCTCTCCATTTACCTCATCCAAATTCATTAGATATGCAGGGGGTCCTCGATAGTCAGCTTTTCATCATCAGTCTCTACAATCACATCCACGACATCAATTAGAGAGCAATTGGCGAATTCACTTGGTCGCCTCATAGATTTCTGCACATTGAATGTTATTTTCATCGTTTAGTCTTATCTTGAGCTCCCCAATCTCACAATCAATTAAAGCTCTCCCCGTGGCCAGGAAAGGTCTTCCCAAAATTATGGGAATTTCTTCATCCACCTTACAGTCTAGGATCACAAAACCTGCAGGGAACACAAATTTCCCTACCTGAATTAGCATATCATCTAGGATTCCAGAGGGTTGTTTCACAGTCCTGTCAGCAAGCTGCAACAACATAGAGGTGGGTCTAGCTCTTCCAATGCCCAACCTCTTATAAATTGCTAGGGGCATAAGATTGATGCTGGCCCCTAGATCACACAGTGCCTTAGCAAAAGCAAAATTACCAATAGTACATGGAATTGTAAAGCTCCCTGGATCAGACAGCTTTTCCGCAATTGATCTAGTCACCACTGCACTACAGGTCTGAGTAAGAGTAACTGTGGCCAAGTCTTGAAAATCAAACTATCGGGACATCAAGTCTTTCATCATTTTCGCATACCCAGACATCTCCTTCAAATCTTCAATCAATGGTATATTTACCTGGATTTGCTTCAGCATGTCAAAGAACTTCTTATATTGCTCCTCCTTTTTGTACTTAGCCAGCCTCTGGGGGAAAGGTGCAGGGGGTCTCTTCTTCCCAATCACTTGGGACTGATCTTTCTCAGCTGCTACATCAACCACTGGCTCCTGGACAGTTTCAACTGCCTTCTCGGTTTCATTCTGAATGCTATTTTCTTCTTGAGCAGGCTGGACTGTCACCTCTGTCAGTTTCGTTGATTCATCCAGCTCGATGGGCACTGGTATGAGTGTCTCAGCCTGTCTAGCTTCTCGAGCCCTTTCTTGCTCTTCATCCAGATCTCTGCCATTACGTAGACTCACCGCCATCAGCTGCTTCGGTCCCTGATCTTTTGGATTTATATGAGTGTCTGCAGGCCTGTACTGCTGTTTTGTTGTACCCCAATTCTGACCACCCTGTCTCTGGCCGCCACTAATTAGACACACTAGTTCATGTCTTCAGAGTAGTGATGATGATCGTGTTCTGCATTTCACTGATTNAGTGCAACAGCCACACCTCAGATGAAGACTCTAATGCCATGCCACACTCATGCTTACTCTATGTACTCTAACAGAAGTGAAGACTTGCTTTTTCTTCTTGAGTTCAATGCCCTCATATCACATTTTTTTGAGAGAAGTTCCACACACATGAAATCAAACAACAAGGAACTGTAGATTAAACGAATTCACTTACTCTCAGCAAAGAACATTCATATGCCACACAGATACACCATAGCTTGCCCTTAGTGTAATACTCTACTAATCGAATTGTTCAGTCTAAGATCAATAGGACTTCATTTGGTTGTAATGTAGGCTACGGGACGGGTAGGATTCATTTAGATATAAGAGTGACTACACCTCCCTAAGCACTCTAATACATACATTTTCTCAATTAAACCTCATCCTTATGTCAAGCTCAACTCCACCTTCACATCAATTTATATTACCCCATACTTCTTTAAGCCCATTTACATCAAGAGCCACCACTTATCTAGGAGTTTTATGCTTTTTTTTTTTCAAGTGGCTCTTCCTTTTTTTTTTCAAAACAGTGCACCTTTCTCCTTATTCAACTAGTTCCACTCGAAAGCCAAACCGACCACCCCACACTTTAACTTTTACAAAGTTCATAACCATTCAAGTGCTCATGAGAGGTGAAAAGGTTCAAGTAAATGGTTAATTCAAACAAATGGGTAAGGCTTGTAATATGGTTGCCAAAGAAAAAGGATTATAGGCTCAAAGGGGTTAACTATGGTAATGTGTAACAGGTGGATTCATTATTATATAGGCTACACAAAGAAATGCCTAAATCATTTCTAAGACCCAACAACTACTATTTCGCTTTGCACACACACGGGGCAAGTTCTAGGTATCGCATGCAAGCACAGAATACGTGTATAACCTCACACACACTTGGCATGTAACTCATTCCGAATTAGTTTGTCAACACATTCACAAGAGCATTCAAATAAGACAAGGTGTGTAAAATTAATGCATAAGATTAAGAGTCTACACTTGAGCCTAGACGTCGCACCCTCAAGTTCGTTTTAAGTATTTGCAGGTATGTACACCATGGGTTGCATTCTTGCCCAACCCATCTTGGCCCAAAAAAAATCCTAAGGGTCCTAAAATCTATTAAAGAAAAATCTACCTAACCCGGTTCAAGAAAAACCCTTGGAAAAGAACCGCGGTCAAAAGAAAAATCAAGGGGGAATTACTACACTACCTAAAAAGAAAATAATAAAAAAATCTTTTTTTTGGCTTTTTGATTAGACTACTTCCCTCAAGAATACTGTCTAGGTGGTCCGTCATCAGGAAAAGTCTCCTACCTTTTCTAGTTTTTTTTTTATATATCCGACTCTAGCCCTCAAGAGACCCGTCGACAAGTGTCCGTCGTTGGACCAAGTCGGTTACATCTAAGCTACATACACAACAACACATATATACACTAACAACACATATATACACTAACCCAAGTCTCCCACCCCACACACAAAGAGTATGGCATGTCCTCATGTCTTAAAACAGTTTAAAGCACAGAAGGGTAAGAGGACTTCCCTGGTCATCATTCGGAGTCAGAGACGGTGTTGGGATCCACGTGACAGGCCCTCCCTAGAGCCCGGAACCAAGCCATCACCCGGCTTTCAGACCTGGCCTGTCGTCTAGACATGGCATCCAAACGAACATGCAGGCTATCAACCGAGGTGCGAAGTTCTGCCACATCTTCCTCCACAGAAGACAACAAGGGTCGGCTGGTGTATGATCTAGAGAACTCCTTCCCAGTATGG